GTGTTTTGATTCTACCACAGCTACTTCCCAGGCCAATTCTTTATCTTGTGATCCTCACTGTGGGATCCACCACTGAAAGCTTGTCATGGATAGACAGCAGAGAATATCTAGCCTGCTTGATCCCTGCAAAAATAAAGATTCTTATTTAAATCTTGAATTATTTCTGAATATTACCCAAATTTAATTACTTGAGGTGTGCTTTATCTAATTTAGTCCTTCAAACCTTGCCATTCAGGACAGGGACAGATGGGGGTAGGGGACAGGAGGGGTCCGCTGGTACATTTGTATCTTCCCCCTTTGATTCCTGCTCCACCCAAAATTTAAAACCATCTTTCTGGCAGTGGCAGCAGGATTTCAAGTCAGGTAATGCTGAGGGAGTCAATAGGCTTATGGACTTCGTGACTCATTATAATCTACACCATTCCTTCTAAACTCGTCATTCCACGGGTGTTAACGACCCTCTCTTCTTTTTAATTGTCTTGACGTTCCACCAATCAAGGTGTGCAATTCTGCTGTCTGTTAGATGCTCCTGGAAATGAAGCTCCTATTTCACAGACCGGCAGATTGTTTTTAACTCACCTAATGACGTTTTATTTGTTTTTGCTTCAATTTTAAAACTGAATAATACAGCCCCAGCCCCCTAGCACATTAGCAAAGTTTCTAGCTTATTTTTAACTGGAGAAAAATATGTGTTGCCTTATATGTGATGATGCATCACTCCATCTGCACCCCCCTTTTCAAAATTTTAAGTCTGCCCATGGTTCAGGATATCCTTCCTGGGAGCTAAACAACTGCTGCAGAGTCCCATGATCAGAACAACGTGTCATCTTACAAAACCCAGGCTAGGACCTGGAAGATTGTAAATCCACTTGCCTTCATCGACCTCAGCAGATATAAGCTGTTTTACAGCAGCTCAGCATCTGGCCCATTGTCTCTGTATTTTTTTTTTATATGCTGTGACAATAAGCTCTCTGTATTTATAGCCCAGAACTCTTTGTGTATATTCCAAGATCTTGTTTGCTCTTTTAACAGCTACCAAACACTGTACAGATGGTTTTACTAAATTATCAACAATCACTCCAAAGTCAGTCTAATATTCCTGTCCTTGGGGCTAAACTTGATGGGCCAAATTCATCCCCTTGCAAAACTCCATTCAGCACAGTATATCTGGGCCCACTGACCACAAAGTGCACTGCTGCTAATTACCTCCTCCCTCCTGCTCTTATCTCAGTTTACTGCCTCAGTATTTATCTTAGTCCCTTGTTTCCTTATCTAAAACACTGCAATCTTCTAGGTCTCCTAATGTCTTTCATGTTTTAACTCTGGTTGCTCTCATCTAATGTTATTATGCCTTTCTGTATTTCACCATCTTTTGTGATTTTTGCTTCTGAGGAACTGCAGCCGTCTCCATGTTTACTGGTTCCCTTTAGACCACAGTTATTTTCTGAGGGCCTAATTACTTGCCAATAATCCTAAAACCTCTCCAGCACTTGTTTCCTTTCATTTTGCTTAAAGATTCTCTCCTCCAGTTGCTTCACTGACCACCCACCCAGCTGCTGCTTCCACCTACCATCAATAAAACACTTGTTCACATGTCTTGCCTTCTCTCAACACATCTTTCATGTTAGCAAATTCTGGATGTCTGATTTGTACAGGCCAGGTGGTTGGTACCTGATCACTCCCTGTATGGTTGAGTAAGGCAGAGGAACATATATTGTCATGTCCCACATTTCCTGTGCTTTTCTGCATAAATCTCCTGGTCCCAATCCACCACCTTGCAGATGGGAATTGTGGCCCTCATATCAACCTGTGGCTTGGCTAAATGAATGCTGCAATCTCTGAAGGAAAGGAGCTCCCCTAAGACTGTGGACAGCTTTGGGGTAACTCAAATCAGAAGACATGCAGTTTGAATGGCAACTAACTCAAATTGCCCCCATATGTGGAGGAAGTCGGGGGTGGGAGGAGTGTTATCTCAGATCCTGACAGGTTCTTTGTTTATGCATCTGTAAGATCCCAGAATAAAAGGTGGAATACACTTGTCTGTTCCTAATCTGGGACAGCAACACCTAGTGCTTTCCCTGACTGGCCATATGCCATCTTGAATGCATGGATTTGACTTAAAAAACTATATTAGCGCTCACTGCAGTATGCTCAAAGCACTTACATTCCAATGCTTGAGGTTCCATAAGTGCCACAGCACTGACAAATGAACATAGAACTCACTGAAAAGTCATGGGTGAATGAAGAACTGCCTTCAACAAGATTTTAATAGACCAGCCAAGCCATATCAGTCAGGAAAATAGAAAAATTAATGACAGAAATCACCTCCTTTCAGTACTTCTAGGACTTTATACTAAGTAAGACTTCTGGTGGTATAACACATACAGTAGATTGCTTATTAGGCACATTCACTACATCTAAACTGATTACCACACAAGCTGATATTTGAGGCAGAGGTACAGAAAGAACATTTATGATGAAACAACATATAGCCATTTGGATACAGACACAGAGAAGACTTTGAATTTTCTGTGGCTGTAGCTGTCTTGCTACATTGTTCCAACTCTGGGGAGGGCAGTTCAGATCCTAACTCACAAAAGGCAGGATATATGGAACAGACAGAGAAAATCAAATAGGTAGAGACCAAAGCTAACCATATCCAAGCCTACCCCTGTCTCCATGAACTTCACAGGTTGCCTTTCTTTTAGCTGTAGAAACACAGTAAGCTCTATACAGCCAACACCATTGACAGTGTGGGTATATTTCCAAACGTCTCCGGACACTGTCTGCAGCAGCCTTAAGATATGAGTTTGCATAATGATGTGATGGGTGTTTTTATGTATGTAATATTTTTGGCTATGTATGTATGTATGTATGTAATGTTGGATATGACAGATGGACACAAGACAGGTGAGGTGGACACTCTCCACCTGGAACTCTTATACACCTTTGGATGACACCAATATTATCATCTGACTAGCTTTCTGGGAACATGCCATTCGGAGTCTTTACAGGAATTTTTTGGGCTGGGGTGATGCAGGGGATAAGGCATCTGGTTGACAGCCCAGAGGTCCCAAGTCTGAGGCCATAGCAGAAGTGCTCACAGCACAGCCATGTCAGATCCCAATGGATCTAAATCTAAACAGGCATTTTCAGGCTTGTTATGAGACAAGTTGCTTCCAGAGAAACAGATGGGGTATAGTACAGAAATGAAAAGTGCTAGGGTCATGGGGTAAGAGGAGATAATACTTTTTAGCAACTTATATCACCTGGTATTAGGAGCATTCAGTAGTACTTCGGAGTGGAATTGCTTTTAGCCATACCTATTTTTAAAGTGCTACAATAAATTGAGGCTTCACATTACCCTTTTGAGGTAGGAAAGTTTGGGAAAGTACTTGGCATTTACAGTATGGGTAGCAGGCATGACGTTAAACACATGTGCTTACATGGTGTGCACAGGCTAGGCAGTCAAAAACCAACCTAAACATACTTCATGGCAGTAAAGAATACAGCCACTAGTAAGACTTGCTGCTTCTTCCTTGCAACAGTTCATCTTTTATTGAAAGCCAAACAAACAAAAGATGGCTTTTAACGAGCTGTTCTTTCAGGATGGATGTTAGCCAGTGCAGTCAGGCATTAAGGGACTAAGCAGTTGAATCTACTCCTCAGGGAATTTTTCCAGCCAGAGGAGAACCCCTGGAAAGCAGCAAGCAGGCTTTATGCGTCACCAAGAGGACAACCTTGTGAAGCTTTGCTTTCTTGTGCTTCAACTTGTTCTTGTTGCCACAATATGCACTTATCTACTTAATACTTTAGACTAATTTCTGTCCAATTCCCTCAATTCCTTATGCTACTCAAGTCAAAGTGCCAGTCATTTTGTTTGGGCAAAGATCAGGTTCTACACAGCTGTGTGATAATGAAAGCGCACTCTCCATTATGGGCAGGACTACAGCTTGTCCTAGACCAGGGTTTGGCAGCCTAAGGCCCGCAGGTCTGATTTGGCCTGATCTGGGGTCTGCTCTGGCAGGGGACAGGTGGAATGGATAGTGCCCATAGAGCCTGCAGCTCTGCTGCATCTCCACTGGCCCTTGCTGCAGAAGGGCTGGGAATCAGCAGAAGGGTAAGCACAGAGCTAGCTGTTCTGTGAGGCAGAGACTTATTGCCCGGCAGGGGGCAGGGAGGTGACACGAAGAGAAAGTCACAGAGGAGTGCACCAGCAATTGGTGCCAATCTCTGTTCTGGATGCTTGGGAATAATTAGTGCTTCCTTACTTTTGTGAGTGGTCATAGATGATCAGGGAATACGCCGGGACTTTACTGGACTCCCCCGACCCCTGCACCTACCTGCACAGCTCAGCTGAAGAAGCAGGGACAATTATCTACTGACACAGAAGAAGGCTTCTTCCTTTCTGGAATAAATAGAGAATGAGGGAAAGATGATACAGTCATAACTGCCTCCCTGGTCTTCTCCTGAGCCACACTACTACTCTACTCTTGCTCTGGGTTGATAATGAATTTTAAACCCTATAAAATGTCTACTAAACAAAGGCAGAGAACCTGGGTCTCCACTGTCTTCCCCTTCATGTATCCACTTAAATTTGTATGAAATAAGTGAAAAAAAAACCTGTCATTCAGATTCAGTGGAGTTTATACCAGCTGGGTTTTTTTTGTTTGGGGTTTTTTGTTTTTTTTGTTTTTTGCAAGAGTCACAGGTGCTGTCACCAAGATGCAGACATAATCAGCACGTTCTCTTATTTCCATGTTCTCTCTCTCTCAACTAGACTTGCTTTGGCAGCCTTAACACTGGTCAGACCTCATGAGTATATTTGTGTATACACATGTAGGCACACTCAAAGCCTATTCACTTGCTTTAACCTATTAGAAGCAATGCTAACCACTGCAAGCAGAACCTTCAATTCCTTTCTTCCAAAAGGAGAACCTTAGACCAAGTTGGAATAAGCATTTCTCCAATTAAAATGATTAGGAATCCAGTACACAACATTCTCACAGAAATCAGCTGCCAGGTTTATTAATCTACCTGAAAAAAACAAAACAAACAAAAACAACAAAAAAGTGAAATAAAAACAGAATTTTAAATAATCCTTTTAGGTGCACTTTCAAAAGGGTTAATTAGTTCAATGAAAGAACTTTTTTCCGTCTTTTGCAGAGAGAGAATGTAATGTTGGGCTGATTGCTTGTTTTGTTCAGTGAATCACTACCATATACAGCATATATAAATTTTCTTCTTTAAATACTACACATTTGATGAATGTTCTCTCATTTCTGTCCTCTCCCCAATATTCCCACATCCTGCTCCAGACAGGAGGTGCTCCACACTGACTATAAGAGCCAAAACCAATCACAGGTATTTCATCAAAGCATATTTCATTGGGCCTTATTTCAATGGAAGCGACACTTTTCAACATTCTAATTTCCCCCCTTCTTGATGAGACTTCTGCAGCTTCAGAGTTCTTGCTTTGATTTTGGGTTGATCATTGAAAAAATTAAGTGCAATAGAGACCTATAAATTAGAGACAAAATAAGATGACATATTAAGGCATATATGCACCCATCAAACACACTGCCTCATGGATTTTGATGAATTAGATGCATGCCCAGATTGTTTTTCTGCACTTGCCATCTCCAGTGTCCACTGCTTTTTAGTTTTGAATGAATTGCATAATGAATCATTTATAGCTAACTGGTTTCTTGACTGACAAAGTAGAAAATTAAGCCACCAACTAGGACTATCTCTGAAATCTCACCCATTACAATGACAATTATTGTTGTTTTATGCTTTTTGTTCCTCATCCTCCCTCCCCTAGATTTATCATCCATTGGAAAGAGGCTCTCCCATGAAGTACCACATTCTACAGCTCACTGTGCACTTCAAATCCCATTTTTACTCCCACCCCCTTCAAAATGGGAAATATTAAGGTTCAGAAAAGGTGCTGATAAATATTTAAATTTTCTTTTTTCTTTTCATTTTACATGAAGAATAATGTGTGGCTTTTTTTTCAAGATTACCCCTCTCAAAAATAAAATGATTAAAAAAGAAGCAAACCTCAAAATGTAAATTGTCTTCCAAACATATCTGATCACATTTACATTTAGTGTCCAAAACAAGTTGATTGATAACATCAGTGCCAGCACTACAACGTCATACAGTGACTTCATTGTATTCTTTGACAGTTCGTATAAGTCTCCGTTCCACCGAAAGTTACAAAAGGTTCCGCAGAGCTTCCCTTAGCAAGCTGAAGCTTACTATTCATTTGTTGATGCGCATAAAAGCTGCTTATAGCACAGCTATGGCATAAGCTATTTTCTAAGCAATAAATGGTTCAAGTCATCTATTTTGTCCTGAAATGCTACCTGTAGTTACAGCATTGCTTATAAATGGTCATCATAAATTCAGCATCAAAGAGAATATTACAGAAAAAGACAGCAGCAGAAGCATTAGCATTATCTAGTATTTATATATGTTATCAACATAACACAGCAGTAAAAGGTTTAAATGCATATTAATGGGTACCGTGTCTAAAAATTACTAAAGTACCTATTTAGTGTATTGGATATTTTTCTCAAGGAGTGCTTGCTGTGTCTAAACAGCATAATTAGATATGTGACTTAGTACAGTTAATTCCTATTGATTAAATAACTTATTTATATACCAAAGGAAATGGAAGGAAACAAAATGTTTTTTCCACTGATCAGGATCCTGTATTTAATGCTGACACACTAATCAGAAAGACCCACCACATGTAATTATTCCCCTCAAATGGACTTTGAAAGGTCTAAAGCATAGGATAGCCTGGATTTGCAACACAAGGTGTCATCAAATCCAGCACACCATGCCAAAGGCCTGCATAAATGGGGTGTGAAGTCAGGAACTGTGCTCCTTAGTCACTATACTTTGCTTAATATCCCATTAGATGGGTGCTTTATGTGAGGCAATAAAAAAACAAAATTGAAATCAAGAGATTGGCAAAGAAATCTTAGATTTTTTTTTTTAAAGAAGGTGCAGGGTCAGTCACTCCGAGCTTCTAAATTGAATTATGCAATGGATGTTTTGTTCCTTCTTATAAACTTCAGAAAAACAATTAGGAATGACAAGAGACAATGCCCAAGGCATATTACTCTGATGATATTATCCAAGCAGTTAATTTGCACAGTAAGAATTAACTGTACTACGGATACCCAGAGAAAATGTACAATATCTTATGCTGATATGAAACAAAACAGACATGATATAGCTTCATTGTACTTGAAACCTGTATGTTCCCTTCCCAAACTTAAGTAAAAATCAAACCCACCCTTTTCCTCCTGTTACACAGAATAAATGTTTGGATTCCAACCCTCCCCTTTCAAATAAAGTGCGCTGTCCATGGCAGACTATAGGAGTAATGCAACAGGAAAAGCCCCTTTAGTGTACTATTTAAAAAACAGAATGGAGTGGATTTAGCTTTCCTCCAGGTCTTCTGAAAGAGGAGAAGCATAGGGGAAGATGTCCCCTTCACTGTCACTGTTGTTAATACACATAGCCTTCATTATAGGGGTGGGGGTTGCAGCAGCCACCATCCTGCATGTAGACCATGCTCTCATCAAAGTGGGACAGAGGCACAGTATCCTCCTCGTTGATGTGACGCTCCACGTCAGTCTTCAGCAAGGGGCGCTGGTTATCTGGAAAGGCCATGGAGAAAAGCGCTTCGGGGTCACAAACAAACTTGTAGACATATCTCTCTCCAGCAACCTTAAGATTAAAAGGGGGGAAAAGAATAATGTAAGGTTTAGCCATTTGGCTGCTTGCAATTCAAGTTTCTGAAGAACTTGCTTCAAAAGACATAATTGAAATCCTGGTTCCACTGACGTCAACAGGAACTGTGCAACAACAGTCTACAAACGACATGTTTCAATACAGGGGACAACCTGATTTCCTGTAGGGGAAGGAGGAGAGGATTCCATTTCTAAACCTGCTCAGCTGTGCTCCCTTTCTGTAGTTAATGGCAAATAAAACTGCTTTTACGGAAGAAAGCAAACAGGTTGTTAACATAGTGACATGCTAAAACTAGTAAATGACATACTAGTTTACATAAAATGAGGGAGAAAAGATACACTGCAATAGGACAGATACAAATTTGACTTTATATAGACAAATTTATATTCAGTTATCTCCAAAAAAAATTTTAAATGAGTTGTAGCACATACTGGTAGTGCAAGGTGTGTATAATCAAACAAGAAAGTCATTATATGCCTAGCAGCAGCTCCTACAGAGCCTAAGACATAGATCTGCTTAATGAATGAGGGACCACTTGCCTAAAAACTCTGGGCTTATCCCTAAGCCTCTCAAGTACTTGGAGGTCTTTGACCTTCATTTGCAATCAAAATGGGAAAATAATGAGCCACATTTAACATCTTTCACTTGGAAAGTGAGCCCATATACTTTACTGTGCAGTGTTTAAAGGGATATATGAAAAATATATGAAAAATATTCTAAAGACTTTTTTTAATTTCATATAATATATTCTAGTTCCTGCTACCTCCATATGGCATGCAACTAATGTGTGCTATAGTTATGGTAGCAGAGGTGGTTCAATCTTAATTCCTTCTTTTCATTTGCCCACAATTTTCTGAAACATTGAGCTTTCAGACTGAAATTTTCTATGACTGGTTTCTGCCAAAAGGTTTGCTATTTTTAAGACCTGTTAACTTCAGCAAGAGGGTGTATGTGACAGAATTGAACTGAAGTTTGCACTGTGAAACCGGACATCCACGTAACTGTCATTAAGGATGACTACCTTGGCTTAGCTTGGAAGAAACAGTTTTAAGACATGCAGAACACAATACATCTTTAAATCTGCAACCTCCCTGATAAAATTTAAGGCTTTCATTGTTTCCTTCTTCAACTTAATTGCTTAGTTAAGCTTAGTTAAGCTAAGCCCAGGGCAAATTAGCAACATTTTTATTTGAAGCAAAAAAAAAAAATCTAGACTACCTTTTAATGTGTTAAATGCAATGCTAACAGCTTACTATACAAGCCCTTTGAATGGCGAATTGTGTGCACAATTCAATTGCTAGTTAGCTGGCTGCCAAGGGAAAGTGTTACCCGTGCAAACTAGGTAGATTAATAGAGGAGAAAAGCAGCAGCTAAGAAGCTCTGCTGGCCAGGACACTAGAGGGTGTAAGGTAAGCAATATAACCTGAAACTTTCCCAACTCTGCTAAGAAAGTCAGATGCTGGTATAGTTGAGCCAATTACCTCTCCTCCCCTGAAAAAGGAAACTGCCAGAAAAACCCTAGGAAATTACGTGCTAAAAATTAGCATGAACATAAAATCAATGTGAGATCAATTACTCAGAAGTCAGGATATTCCAGAAGTAAATGTATGGGCAGCAGGCATAACTAAAAGGTTGTATTCATCCCTGCTTGTTAAATTAACATGCTATCACTTTTTATCAACACATACAGGAATATGTACAGGTTGCATACCTCAGTTAACATTGTTGCAGAATCTTATGGGCTTAATCCCGCCAAGTACAGAGTATGATTGTTGGAAGGTGCTGCAACAAATTAAACTGGAAACTGAAGTTCGCAAGGAGGTCTTAAGACCAGATGTTTAAAAGTGTTAAGGAGTAGGAAGACACATACAGACACATTTGGGAATCCAATGGGCTATGTAAGCACAACGCCTGTGCCGTAGTGCTTCTGAAACCCCCGTCTGTGCTATTTGTAAGACCCTACACCAAATTCATGGCAGAAGCAGGGTGTGCTGCAACTCCTTTAATCTTGCAGATTCCCCCACACGCCCCGACTGCTGACTGGTAGAGGGGCCCCGCTTGTGGCTCTCACTTGTGATGGGCAGAGAAGTGAAAACCATGATTTTAAACTTGGCACTGTTTTTGCCTTCCTGCCAGTCAGCAGCAAGCAGGGGGGCTGCTGGGGCCTCTGGGCCAATCAACAGGGGGGAGGCAAAAACAGCACTGAGTTTAAAACCATGGTTTTCACTGCCAATCAGGAGTGAACCACAAGCAGGGCACTTCCACCCATCAGTGGTGGGGGACACGCAGAGGAACCTGCAAAATTAAAGCAACCACAGCACATCCCACTTCTGCCATGATTTCAGTAGGGCCCTATCTATTTGTATCTTTAGGTACCTACATGCCTTTGGCTCTTAGGACCTTGAAGAATTTCAAAACAACCAAACTTTGGAGAGCTCAATTTCAGAAGCTGAATGGTGCAAGTGCATACATATACTTTATGAATACATTCATGTGGGTAGATTTTACAGTGCCAATTCCAGGTTTAAACCATGCAGATTCACAAGATATTTTGAATAGACTATGACGCAAGATATAAAGAGATAAATTAGGATCTTCGGTAACATCAAGCTCTTGCTTCTTCAGAAGTTAAGGAGTAGGAAGACACATTTCCTGTTTTACAATTCTTCAGAAGCAAGAGCTTGATTCCTCAGCGGCTGCAAACAGGTATTTTCACTGACTTCTGAGCTGAATACACACAGCAACTTAAAAATACAATAACCCCGAAGAAAGAGAACAAGAGAGGATTGTAGTGTACGAGTGATTCTAAACATCATTAAACGTTTGTTGTTTTTTAATGAAAATCCAGATCCCAATAAAATCACAACTATCCTAATATGGTTCACTTGATATCTCAGTTATCAATGATTTTTCTTTTCCTGTTTTACAGTTACCAAGATAACTCTTAAATACTGGACAAGTATTTTAGGACTACAAAGCATTACCCACAATGGGTTCTTCTGCTCATGTCTCAAGAACCACAAGCTTTCCTAGGTATTATTTTCCCCACAGCAGATGGGGAAAGTTGTGTATTATGACCAGGGAGCTGGATTTTCTGTCTGCTGTGGGAAAACACGGATTTTCTCCTTTAAAAGAGAAAACCCCAGGTAACAGAGGGTTTCCCCTTGCAGGCTGGCAGATTTCCAGCCCGCAACGGGTTGCCTGGGGCTGGAAGGAGCAAGGCAGCAATGGAAAGCAGCTCCTTCCAGGTTTGTCTATGGGGGTAAGGGTGGGGGGGACACAGGT